ATATATATATATATACATATATACTCATAGATACATGTTTTATCCATGTATATGTATATGTATACGTATATGTGTACGTATATGTATATGTATATATGCATCTTCAACTCGATGTACTATAAGTAGCATAAAAGTATGTAGTATAGGGACTTGTCCAGACATCTGTAATATTTCTGATCCATGCGTCCACTTTGGTACATTCCGCCCCGCAGCTGGTCACGTCATCGAGGGTGACCACACTCCTCCGGGCGTTTAGGGTTTATGGTTTAGGCTTTAGGTTACTGGAAACAAGCAAACTAAACCCCAAACCTATAAACCTTAACCCTAAACCCCGAGGGATAGAGAGGAAAGATCTGATATGCATGCTAACACTACCTAGGTCTACTGCTCCACCCTTGTTAGGAGGATTAGGTTTAAGGGTTTGAAGGAAATCAAACCAGGCCCCCTGACTCTATCGAAGTGTTTGTCGTCAAGGGACCAAGAAGCAAAACATGGCAGAAGAGAAGCCCAACAGGCTCCAGAGATGCAGAGGCTTCGCAATGCCTGGACCCAAACTTGCCCTCAACCCTTCGAACCTAAACTGGAAGCTGTTCCGAAGTCCACAGCTTCCATGTTTGACTGCTCAAGCCGTTTGTGATGCTCAGCCGATTAGTGGGACCGCGGCGTCCCGCAGGCCCCAGCGCAGTCGCTCGGCAGCGTCGGCGGCTGCATGTCCACGGCCCAGGCACAAATTTCCTTGGGCTCAGTTTACCGCTTGGGGTTTCAGATGACATAGGTGGCCTGAAAGCCACTGATACGACTGTCAATCCGAACCCTCCTCCCGCTACGGTACACTCTATCCACATGACTGTGTTCAATGCTATCTTGCATCTTTGCCCCCTCCCCCAAGCGACAAACCTGCCAGGCAATAATCTAGGCGAGTGGAGGCGTCATGGCCTTGGAACCGTTTGGGTTCAGAGGACTATTTCCTCTAACGTAGAAGCCTGAATTAGTGGCAATTCGCCTCGACCCCGGCCGAAGCAGGCCGAGGCCGACAACGCGAAGGGCTTTCAACATGATTCCCTGATAGTCTCTCATATACTTACATTCTCTAATATACTTATAACAGAGTTACCCCCAAACCATTCTTTTTCCTAAGGCGGCTGTTCTGAACAGATTCATATTTGAAGCAGCGATTATTCATTGGGGTATGACATGTAAGTCATATATACTGCCCTTAATGATGAGAATAGGGTTTTGGTGTACAGTATAGCATCTTATAGTCTAGTCTAGTCGAGTCTAGTCTAGTCTAGTCTAGTCTATAGCAGATAGTATGTAGTATATGGTATGCAGTACGTAGTATGTTGGCTATCTTAAAAAGTATAGAGTATAAAGTATACGGTATGTAGTATGTAGTATGTAGTATAGGCTATATAGCACATAGTATATAGCATATAGTAAATGGCATATAGTACATAGTACTGTTTCGGTTAGGCCTTTGAGGGTTTGTACTGCTTGTTTCACTTTAACGCACAAAAAGATTGCAGCGACATCATACTGAATGGCAAACAACTGTGGGCATCACCTATCTTTGGGCAGCATAGCTGCAAAGGAGCCACCGACGGGACGTTGGGAGTCACTAAAAATCTGAAACTCTCTGAACCCTACTGCGGCCTGTAGACTCAAACCTGCTTGAGACCAGGTACAATTCAAAACAGCAACCTAAGCAATGCCCCCCCGAAACGCTCAACTCAACCCCCAAACCTGAAAACCGTAAGCCCTAAAACCCTCAACCCTGAACCCTAAACCCTAAACCCTGAACCCCTAAACCCTAAAACCCCTAAACCCTAAACCCAAAACCCCTAAACCCTGAACCACAACGCACAAGGCTGTAGCCAGGTCTCGTCCTCAGCGCATCCAGGCCCGTCACAGCGGAGAATCGGTCCTTGCTTCGGCTTGGGTCTTCGGATTCTTGTTGAGGGATTCTAGAACCACTCAGTGGTTCCGTAAAGGTTCTATAGCGGATCTTTTCGGGGGTCTAATGCGATTTAGGGTCGGGTCTAATTTGTGGCCACAGCCTGAGTTAAGCCACCTATACATAAGCCACCTATACATTCCCATGCATCCACCGTGCAAACTATACATGCATGCATGCATACATTAGATAATTACCAATACTATTTTGGTGGCTCCTTATTTTGCTTATAGTAGAATATACCCCCAAAACCCTGATACAGACAGACCGAGAGGCAGGCAAACAGACAGAGCGACCGACAGACAGACGGACGGACAGACAGACAGGAAGGCAGGCAGACAGACCAAAAACGTACTGATGCACGAACACATCTACACACAGACATGCCTACATACACACATACAAACACAAACACATGCGTACATGCAGACATACATGCATACGTACATACATACATATCATACATTCATACGCACAGACTTACCTACATAACTACCTACCTACCTATCTACCCACCTACCTCCCTGCATACATACATACATACATACATTCATTCATTCATTCATGCATTCATTCGTTCATTCATTCATACGTAACAGTCACCCACACACTTACGCTCTTTCCACTGCCGAGTGTCGAAGGAAGAGATGGCAGCCCGCACTATGCGCTCCGCCACCGCAGCTGTCTAGTTGAAGCCTGGTGCTCAGCATTGAGTCGGATCTAGTACCAGGACAGCCTGGCATGCAGCAGTCCTCTCGACTATCCTGAATTACGTGCTTTTGCTGAATTGTATTTGCCTCCGCTTGTCTTTAATTGTCTTTATTTGTCTTGATATGCCTTCATGTGGCATCATGCTGATATGAATCCCCCAGGGATCTAAACCCGAGGATGGCAGGCTGCAAAAAGCCCTCTGAAGCAGCAAGAAACCCCAAACCCTGAGCCTTAAACCCTAAACCATAACGCTAAACACAGCCTCCCCAAACCCTAAACCCTAAACCCCAAACCCTAAACCCTAAACCCTAAACCCTAAAACCTAAACCCTAAACCCTAAACCCTATCTCCTCCAAAAATCCCAGCGACCGGATGGTCTCCAGGGGCTTCCCCCGGCGCGTCAGGGCCCCATCACGCCAGTGAAGGGGCCCAGGGAGTGTCCAGGAGGCCTTGCAAGGAATTCTAGAAGGGCTGTTTAGAGTGCGATGCTCATAGCGTTTAGTGGGAGTTTGGTTTATCCGGTTTTGTAAGGGGTGTAAACGAGCGTTAAGTGATTATGGTATCTGTAGAGTGTCTGTTCGTCCCGTTGTTGAAGGGCTTTATGCATTTTGTCAGGTCGTTTGGGGTGAGAGGGGATGACGTCTTCATGAGCGTGTTCATAAGACTTTAGAGCCGTGGTACAGGTTCCAGAAAGTTTGCAAATTCTTTTGCGTCTAACGTGTAAGGAATGGAGGGGAAGGTTCAGGATTTTCTTGTGTCGGGGTTTGAGGTTCCAGCGTTTAGATTAGGAGTTTAGGGCTTGAATATAGATGTCAGAGGTAAGGGTTGCTCAGGGATTTGTGTAGGTAGTTAGCTATAGGTTGTAAAGGTTGCTTGAGAGTCCTGTCATCTACCGAAAGGGTCCGGACCTCTGGAGAAGGCTTGAGGTGTATGGAGTAGCAGTTCGGTGAGGGATAACAGTAGAAGATAGAAGGCTGCGAACTTCACAATAACATCCCCTGCTAGGTCCTGATATAAGCGTGTCATGATATACCCCAGCACCCTAGTCTAGTTCTTAATCCCAAAACCCTAAACCCCTAAATCCTCCCTAAACCCTAAACCCTAAACCCCAAAATCCTGTTTCACAACAACGGTTTCGGTGTTCGGAAACCCTCAACACTAAACCCTAAACTGCCAGGCCAAGGCACATGGTCGCAAAGACTGAAGCTGATGGGCGTCAGGTGGTGACCTGCTACCAGGAGGTAGCTTAATATAGGGGCCTTAAGGATTAGAGTAGGGTTTTGGGGTATGTTATACTATAACTATAATAGGGAGCCCCCAAAATAGTGTTGGCAACTATTTACGCCCCTTCCTTAGGTGGCTGACGGTGTAAAATCTAGGGATGTGGGGTTCAGTCAGGATTCTTGAAGTTCACAGCCGGGGCGGTTTTCGCGGCCTCCATAAGGGGCGTTCGCAGCTCAGATGACACGCAGCCGTGGGGCTTGCAGACAACGAGAAGATGGTTGAGGCTTCATGCCCGGTTAAGACATCCCACCTAGTTTTCGGAAATCCCCAATGCCAGTGTGACGGCAAGCAGGAACGAGCAGCAACTAGTCATCATCAATAATACCAGCCGCCTCCGCTTCCTGCGTCTCATCATGACAGACACCTTTGTCAATGAGTCAAGCCCAGTCCCTCAAGAGTGCTCCTAGCACCAGACAGAACAAATGCTCCGAATCTCAATCCTGACTCTGCGATCCTGAAGAATAGACCCCCCCAAGTGTTGTCCTTCAGTCCCGGAGCAAACCAGACAGGGCTGTACTCCTATCCGCTACACTCCAAACGCACTGAGCCCTAAACCCAAGATACCTTCGAAGGGCTGCTGCAACGGCTGCAGTGGCAGCAAGAAAGCAGATGCCCATGTCAGCGCTAGCACAGCCAAGCCTCCCGACAAAGGGCACTTCCGGCTCTTCGGATACAGGTTGGATGCTTCAGCGTCTGCGGTTTAGGGTTGACCTGTAGCCGAAAAGACCTACCTCTTTGGGGTTCCTTTTTATGGTTGCTATATATATATATATGTATATATATAAAAAAGTTTCTATATATATATATATATTGTTTTCCTTAAAAACGGTAGGGCGCTTGGGCGACAGGCAGGATTTCGGAGGCAGCTCGACTCAAGCTTGGCTACGGGATTAGGGCCAGAGGATTGAAATTCAAGGGGTAAGGTTAATATAGTGGCCTTAATAATTAGACTGGTGTTTTGGGGCCCATGATACTAGAGTTATATTAAGGAACCCCCAAAAATAGTATTGGTAATTATTTAGGCCCCTAGATTAGGGCGGTTGGGGCTTCCCGCAAGACAAGGGACCTCTAAACGGTACAAGAGAAGCCGGTAAGCCGACAACCGCGTGCTTTGAACCCCGAACCCGTAAACCCTAAACAGAGTGCAGATACGTATCCTCTAGCCCATCAGGCTAGCAACTGCTGAAAGCTGGGGATCAAGGCAAATCATAAAGGGACCTGACACATAAGTTGGAATTGGATGCCGAGATGCATTATCGTATATATATATACAGACAATATCGCCAAGACTAACTCTTCCAACCAGTCTCCCTTTCTCTTTCTGTATACACACTATAAATATCTCAGAAGACCCTCCCCGACAAAGCTATGTTAAGGTGTATCGTGAAGTTATTGTTAAGTGCGGCTTAGGGAACTTGGATTTGGAATTCCTTCCACAACTCTTTCCAAGCTTCGCTGTTAGGGTTGAGGGTGTAGGGTCAGAGCTTCGGGTGCAGGGCTTAGGGTTTAGGGACCTGCATGACGGAAAAGTTACCTCTTGAGTCGGTGGCTCTCTTCTCTAATCCGTAGCGTTTTCTGATGGGACATGTCGTAGCAAACCACACAGCCAAATGATAGGTCCCAAAAGCCGTGAAACCCTGAACCTAGACCTAAATCCTGAACTCGAAACCTTGAAGCGCAACCCCAAAACCCCAAAACCAACAGCCCGACATAATCCCAACATCCATCTTAGACCCTAGTCTACAACCGAAAAGTTTCAGGAGTCTTGTCCGCACCAATCTCTGTATGACTGGTCATCATTGTGATTATTACGAGGCTATCCCATTACAAGTATCTCTATTATGATGAGTGTACTTCAACATTATTCGCAAGACAGCCGATGATTTCATTTGTTGCTTGGTTGATCTTCGGAGGCTGGTTCGTAGTCCAAAACCCTAAGGCCTAAATTATTAAGCCTCAAACTCTAAGCCTAAACCCCCTAACCCTAGAACCTACTCGAAAACAAATTCTAAACCCGAAACCCTAACACCCGAGGTGCACTCGTGCAGTCCCAGGCACATGCCGGAAAACCGCAGTAGAATCCGACGGGTTGCTTTCGTGTCACCTGCTCAGAAGGGACTCCTATAAGGAGATATCCTGGATTGAGAGTTCAGGGTTTGGGGGCTTAATTACCAATAGTATTGTGGGGGGGGGGGGCTCCTTATTATAATTCTAGTACAATATACCCCAAAACCCTATTCTAATTAGTTCGGCCCCTACATTAGCATTCCACCTTGCAGCCAAGCTTGTTCAAACTAAGCTCTCAGGGTTTGAGGTTTAGGGATGTAGATAGCAACCTACCACTGCGAAGCCGTTCAGGGGTGTTCATGTGGCTTGGGGCGTCGACTCGGTTTAGAATCTCTACACTCTGCTCGGAAATTGCGGGACTTGGTACATGTTCAGCTTTTGGTTATCGATGCGGCTGGAAGTCCGGCAGGTAAGTTGAAGCTTAGGGTTTAGTGCTTAGGGTATAGCACCAGTTGGAACCTGTTTTCTAAGTCGCCTGATCACTCAAAAACAGTCTATGCGACTTAGTCGCTAGTTATAACTGCAATGAGGAAACCCCAAGCACCCTACCCCACCCATATCGGCTTGTGCAAACCTTGGACAACTCGGCGCAAGTGTACCTAAGCTGACACACCCCCGCTCCGAAAAATCTTGCCAATCGCTGTAAACATCATTAGGCACCTGAAGTGCCCAAGACCACTGGCTTGCTTGCTCACTGACTTGCTGACTTTCTCACTCATGCAATATTGTCTTACCTACTTGCTTACCTACTTCAACAATGTTGTCTGGTGCAGGGCAAGTGACAAGGCCCGCCCAGCCGAAGGCAATGCAATGCAGCAAAGGGGTCCCCAGGCAAAGGATCGCGAAGGACAGTTGTCCGAGCCTTGCTTCTTTCAGGCTTTTCGGCGAGGGTTTAGGGTGTCAGGTTTGGGTTTCGAGTTCTTTCAGGTGTTTCGGCTTTGGGATTTTAGGCGTTTACCTGGGGTTTAGGAAGTTTTGTTTTTAAGGGTTTCGGGTCTCAGGATATATGCCCGTCTTCCTCTGTTGCGGCGCCACCCAAAAATGCCAGAGCAGTGTCTATCACAGCTCTGCGTGACCAAAAGGCAATTTGAGGGGTAACTACCAAGGCTGGGATATCAAAACACAAGGATTACTCTAGACCCTGAATCCCACAGCTACCGAGATGCCACAGTTCGAGGTCAACGGTTAGGGATGTCATCTACCTTCTGGAACTCTGGTGACGGACTACATATCAATAGTATCGCCTTCCAACCCCCTGTACTAGTATACTATAATAGTGTACCCCAAGAAATAGTCTAATTGTTAAGTCAAGACTCATGCAGGACATCATATTACTCCCATATCCAGACCTCAGCCCGATAGTTCCAAACCTGACACTTGAACACTTAGACCCGCAGAAACCATGCACCGGGAGATAGCCAACCCGGTGCCCAATTCTCCAACTTGATGAACATGACGCTCTGAACGGCAGGTGAGGAACCCTGAAGCCAACTCCAAAAGCTTCAAATCCTACAGCAAGCTTGAAACGTGAAAAATGGCGTTTTGTATGTACGACAACCAAACACTAATCAGAAAATAGTTGTAACAGGCAAGAAGACGAATACTAAAAACAACAATAATGACAGTAGTAAGAACAAGAAGTTGACTGAGTCATGCGAATACTGAGAACTCACCATACGCATAATAAGAGTCATAGCAAGAATAACAACAACTATAATACCAATATCCCGAAGGCGATTAGATGGTATCCTTAGTCGTAGGACTTGTGACAGGACGAATATTAGCATTGTGATTACTACTGAAACTACTATTGCCACTTATACTACTAACACTACTACCACCACCACCACCACCCCCACCACCACTAGTACTACTACTACGACGACGACGACGACTACTACTACTACTACTGCTACTGCTACTACTACTACTACTACTACTACTACTACTACTACTGCTACTACTACTACTGCTACTACTTGCTGCTGCTGCTGCTGCTNNACTACTACTACTACTACTAACTATTACTAACTATTACTAACTATTACTAACTATTACTAACTACTACTACTACTACTACTACTACTACTACTACTACTACTAACTTCTACTAACTACTACTAACTACTACTACTACTACTACTACTACTACTACTACTACTGCTATGATTAGCAGTAGCAGAAATCGCATTCTCACGATTGTGATCACTTTTTGGTGCTCTAAGAAGAAGAAGAAGAAAACTATACTACACCTAACAACAGCAACAAAACCAATGACGATATCAATCAGCACTAATACTACTAGCAGTAGTAACACACTTTCGGCACGGATGGACAAAACTTAACGCACGACACCTCTTTCAGCACAGGGGCATGCTAAATCCCACGGCCTTGCCGTTCTCATCCCGCAAAGGGAGGAGACCGTCCTGCGCGAGTCATCTTCGAGCACCGACGGACAGGCAACGTCTTGGAGGTTTAGGTTTGTCTCATATGTTCATGCAACGCTATACTTTTCATGTGTTTAGCTGCAGATGTAGGTATGTATGTATGGGTATGTGTCCCAATGTAGCTCAACATGTTCTCTTCTTTTCTCGTCTTGTTTGCTCGAAAGAAAGGTTGTGGTCAATGAGAGCTTGGGGTCGACCAGTGCCCGAAGCCCTAAACTCTATTCGGCGATGATGGAGGAAGAGTAGCCTCGCATCGTTGACCAAAGTGCTGCAACATTACTGGTATTAGAGGGGCCTCAACAACTAGAATAAGGTCCTGCGGTATATTATACTTATAATTGTAATAAGGAGCTGAATTCCAGGAGCAAGACAAGGATCTCCTGAAGCGAGCCGTGCGCTCAACATCAGGGTCCAAGTATCTAACAATTGCCCGAAACCCCAAAACCGATAATGGGGGTCCGGAAAGAGGCACCCTATATAGTACCCTGAATAGTAGGATCCTTATTATAAGGACCTCAAAATAAGGTACTCCAAATTTTCGGAAACTCCCATATCCTGATTATTGGAGACTTCAGACCCTTTCAATTAAACGGCTGAAGCGGATGTGAAGGACCAGAATCCGAAAAATCGCGATAAACCACTCATCCACATGACAGACTCTTCGGGTTTAGAGTCTAGGGCTTTAAGGATTTAGGGTCCCCGGCAGAACAAAAGCCATGCTGCGGCCCAAACCAAGTATGCCCTCATGTCTGTTTGAACACTGATTGTTCAGGGTTTAGGGCGTAGGCTGAAGCCCACCATCTAAACCCCAGAACACGGCAAGTGCATCGCGCCTGGAGATAGGTTGCGAAGGCCCAGAAAGTCAGCCCAGCAAGTGCCAGCGTGACGCTAAGTACCAGCAGCCGTGGAAACGGCTCACGCAGGAAGTCGTCGAAATCCATTTCCGGAGGGGCGTCAAAGCCCGGGTGCTTCATGGGCTCCGTCGATGCGGCTTACCACTTAAAGGTCTTTGTCACAATCTTACGGTTTTCGTGCGCTTACTTCCTGGTTAAGCCGCCTTCGAGGGAGTTGGCGATACGCTTAACAATAAACTCACCATGTCGTGCATCCCAAGTCCTTGGGCCCTGTAGCCCTAAACCCCGAGGTTTACAGGAACTCTGACCCGGAAAATCATGGGTACCTCGGTCGTAGCAGAAGGCGGCGACGGCAACAGCAAAGCTCAGGCTTGGGGGTAAGGATCTAACCAGGGTCCAATGGCTAGGTACTTGGGTATCCAAAGCCTGAGTTCCTGTTTAAGGGCTTAAGGGTTTAAGGCAGAGGGTTTAGGGGTTTCTAGGTTCTTGAGTATCCTAAATCTTAAGCTCCGTTTAGGGCTTCTAGGTACTTGGGTATCCTAGGCCTTGTCTGGGAAACTGTGGGTTGGTATTGTGGGAAACGTGTGAACACCAGGTGCTTGGGCCCAGAGGGTTGAGGCTTAGAGTCTTAGAGTCAAACTGTACATATACAAACACAGAGATAATTCCATAGGAAAGTCAGGTAGGTAAATGGAGATAAAGTTAACAACGACACTAAGATGCTCGGATCCACGCAGGTCTATCCATGTACAAAACATCAAAACATCCATCCATCCATCCATCCATCCATCCATCCATACAGCAGATTGATTGCTTACTTGCATGCTTGTGTGCTTGTGCTTGCTCGCTCGCTGGCTCGCTTGCTTGCTTTGTTGATTGGTTGGCTGACTTGCTACATCGACTGCGTCTATTTTGTGTGACTTGGGCTTCAGCGTGGGGTTAAGGGCCCACGGCGAGCTGTAAATGTGCAGCCCTTCAGAAACATTCGAGAGCTACTGCTTGGGGCCTGCTGCGCTGCGAAAGGGTGAGTGAAGGCCGAAGCTTAGGTGGCCCTGTCTTAGCTTTAGGATTTAAGGATGTTTAGAGTGTAGGGTCAGGGTTTGGGGCTTAGGGTTAACGGTTTAGGGTCGAGGGACAGGATGGCGGTTTAGTGTTGTTGCTAGGGTCAGGAATTCCGGGGCTTAGAGAGATGCTTAGGCTTCAGGCATTGTTTGGCCATGTTGCTGATGACCGCAACGCCCTTGGCAACCAACATGGAATAGAGCATGCGCTCCGTGTTGACATCCAGAGCACTGGTGGCTTCGTCAAGCACCTTGGGTCTCATAGCCTTGATAATTAGAATAGGGTTTTGGGGTAATTGTAATGAGGAAACCCCCCACAATAGGAAACGTAATTATGAAGGCCACTATATTAGCGTGTAGGCATTATCGCAACTAGACTCCAAGACCAGACCCCTTTTCCGTGAGTTTCTATACTACGGTTCAGTAATCACTTATGTAAGGGTTTCATGCATACAGATTTAAAATGCTCCCCTTTAGCGCCAGCTCTTTTGGCTATGGTCGGTCCAGCGTTGCGATGGCAGCTGCTGAACTACTTGCCACTATGTTTTTGTTTTTCGGATTTCTGGGGTCATGGCCTCACCTGCCCTAGAAGCCAGCTCCTGTACCACGGAGTAAATCAGAAAACCGGCTTTGGGACGGAACGCATCTGCCACCCCAGTGTTGCAACCCCCGTGCTCTGAGCCTGGGGGACCCATAAGCTGCCCCAACCGAGTACGTTAGGGCTTAGGGTATGGGGGTTTGGGGTTTAGGGGACCATCCATGCCTAACCCCTAAACTCCGACTCGGGCCCTACACCCGAAATCCGCTCTAGATGAAGAAAGCCCGACAAGAAACTCTTGCGGCATCTTGCAGGAACCCCAAAAGACCCGTGTAGGGAGCCTCGCGAAATTTTAGAGGAACCCTCTCAGAAACCGTTACTTGAACCTTCTCTGACAAAGGGCGGCAAAGCGCGGCTCGTTGAGCAGCAACCGGGCGAAAGCGAGACGCTGCTGCTCACCTCGAGGTGGAGGTGACCCAAAGAGCTCTGGGCTCAGAAATTCGGTGATTTAGGGTTTACGCCTTGGGGGGTAATTAGGGCTTGAGGCCTATGGCAATCAAGATTGAGCCGTAGCCCCAAGAGAAAGCTCTCTGACATAGACCCCCCAGAGTCCCTAAACCCCAAAACCCAAGCCGTAAACCGCGAACCCACACCCTGAAACCCTTAAAGGAGCCCTTAAAAGGAGATCCTGGGAAGCATAAGAACCCCAAAGCACAGCCCCAAGACTGTAAACTCTGAACCCCGAGACCTTATTTTTTCAATGTTGACACCCCGCAGGCTTTAGGGTGCTTAAGGGTTTCGGGGTTGAGGGCTTAGGGTTTCGGGGTTTAGCCCTAAGCCCCATGCCGATCCTCCTGAGGACCCTTATAGAACCCTTGTGCAGAACCCTCATATAGTAGAAGCCCAAAAGTTGGAAACCCAATAATGCGCAGGGAATCAAAGCACTAGTTGTCCTTAATCCGGTTTCGAACTCTCTGGGTTTACGATAGATCCTGAACTGGGATATCGCTTCACCCCGTGTTGCCGAGCTGCCCAAAGAAAGCAGTCGAGGCCAGTCCTTTCAGAACTTCGGGCCAATAGGCTCTTGAGGGGTCTTGTAGGTGTTTTCGAGACGCACAGGGTCTTGTAAGAGTTCCCTCTGTTTTATGTCGACCTGGGTTTCTAACAGGGCCTTAATAGGGCTCTTTCATGGGGCTCCGAAGAAGCGGACTAGGGCTTGGGCGCATGCAGGGTTATAGTCGGTGATACTCTAAAACAAACTTATGTTTAAAATGAAAGGTTCAATGTCTTGCTCCGAGGGCTTCTAGTTGGGTGCTAGAGACGAATTGCGGAATTCTGCAGTTCAGGGCCTTTGGGAATCGGCCGGTTTGGCCTTGCGGCTTGAGGACATTCCTGATTTTGTGGGACGGCGGCCACGGCAAACAGCAAAAACGGACACTGCGAGGCAGCGAGGTTCGGATCTACACCTGGTCAAGATCACGAATCGCGAAACAGTATGCACACAGTACTGGGGTGTGACACGTCTAGGGCAAGGGCTTTCACACCATGAAATGCAACAGACTATAGTCTATAGGGCTTTCAGGCTGAAGCTGCTGGATAGATGCCAAGCCTGGTACCCTAAACCCTCTGATGTGGTTAACCCTGGAGCTCCCCCAAAGACCTATTTTGGGTTTAGGGGTTTAGGGTTGAGAAATGTAACTCTACATCTCCCAGCCCGATAGCGCACAGAACTCGAGCAGCAGCCTGAGGCGAAACACTTAACCCCAAACTATACATCCTCAGCCCAAAAAACCATAACTCCAAGCCCCAAACGCTAAACCATGGACTCTAAACTCTAAGCCCCAATGCATACGCAGGCAACTTCCTGAACCATGAGCACTAGAATCCCTAACTTTGAACCTAACACACCAAAGCCGGAAAGCCTTGAAAAAACCCAGAAACCCTAAATCGCAAATCAAAAGCCTTTTCCCTGAACTCTATACCCAGAGAAAGGTCTTTGGACTCAAAAACCGATTAAAGACCCTCATGAGAAGCTCTCAACTCAAGCCTCAAACCGTACAAACCATGTACGCAATCTTTATAACTTCCCCTGAGACCCTACCTGCCTGCTTGATGCCCAGGTCTGGGTAGCGCTCAACCAGCCTGGGAAACCCCGCGAGACGACTCGGGGATCACTTCTTGCTCTTGGGGTTTAGGCGTCTTTGATACTTATGGCGCCGGGGGGCCAGGGTTGTAGGGGTTTCGGATTTAGGGATGAGGGTTTAGCGTCTTGCGACCTAAGAAACCTACATTTTGAGGATCCCTTATTCTTATATGGCTTGCTTGGTTGTTGAAAAGATATGTGTCTAAGTGGTTCAAGTAGGTCCTATGCAGAGCAGGCTATGCACTGGCGCTCCAACATAGCCATTTACATGAACATGCATATACATGTACATAGATATACACACACACACATACAAAGGCATACCTGTCCTGTGCCGATGGTCGTATACATGTACGTGAAAATACACTCATACTATATAAACACTTACATACATACATATAGAAGAGAGACAGAGAGACACACACACACACAAAAGCAAACAAATATATATATATATATATGTGGAG